TTTCTAGAAAGAATGTTGTTATGGCTACATAGCATCTAACTCCATACAATCCCATTTCCCCACCATAGAAAATGCATAGCAGAAGAATAGAAAGGGTGGCAGGCTAGAGACCCCAAAAAAAAGATGGCGGCAGGCCTGACACCAGACTCCATGGCCTCTCTTTCTCGCCTTCCTCCTGCAGATGCTCAAGCCGGTTTCGGGAAAGCTGCGTCCCCAGTGGGAGATGGGGCTCAAGCAGTCCAAAGACGCCCTCTCCATGGGCCTGGAGGAAAGGAAAGCGAAGTACACTTTCATTTACATCCGGGGCAGGCCGGTCCTCAACCCCCAGGTGGCGAAGGAAGCCGGACTGGCGGTGAAGTCGTTGGAAGAGATGGATAAGATTTACTCGGACGAAGACCTTTCGCAGAGTCTGAAGTCCAGCAAAGAATACGACGTCCCGGCCAAAAGGGGGAGAAGGACCAAGGCGCTTTGCACGAGGGAATCGGACGACTTCGCCCACAAGGCCGTCCCGAGCACCCCTCCCGAAAGGAACCCGGAGGAGAGAGGCGCGGGGGGCTCCCCTTTCGGGAGGAAGAAAGTGATTCCCTACGCTCCCCGGAACCGGAAAAGCGACGGAGTCCCTCAGTTCCTGGTCTTTTGCCAGAAGCACCGAGATGAGGTTGGTGTCCCCAGAATCCGTACCGTGAGTCTTCCCTCGTTTTCTTCTTCAGGTCCCTTAAGGACCACAGAGCCCCCGAGGCTCCTCCTCAGCCCCTTGACCCCCACTTGGGGAGGGTCTCAGAAGCCTTGCAAAAATCCACAGGGCTTGTCCCGCCTTCTGAAGGTCTGGCAGTTTAGTCTAAATTGGGAGATAGGCAGCTGTGAACACTGACAGTCAAACGATGGGGGGGAGGGGGGCAGCCCTCCGGAATTTGGAACTGAAGAATGGGATGGAATAGAGAATAGAATGGAACAGAATAGAATAGAAATAGAATAGAATCGAATAGATGAATGAATGAATGAACAGAATAGATTAGAATACAGAATGAACAGAATAGAATAGGAATAGAAATAGAAAGGAATAGGAATAGAATACAGAATAGAAATAGAACAGAATAGAATAGATGAATGAATGAACAGAATAGAATAGGAATAGAAATAGAATAGAATAGATGAATGAACAGAATAGATTAGATTAGAATACAGAATGAACAGAATAGGAATAGAAATAGGAAGGAATAGGAATAGAATACAGACTGCACGGGACAGAATAAAAAAGAATAATTTTATCGTCACTTTGAATGTGCATTAATCGGCATACATTAAAATGAAATTCCTACTGGGTCATAAGTGCCCCTGGAGTGGGCTGTCGTAACGTCAAGCGTCTGCTAAGCGAGCAGCCATAAGTCAGGGCTGCCTGTCTTGTGGGTGCTTATCTGCCAGTTGCAGGCGTTTTTTTCCTGACATGGTATTTGCAGAGCTGGACTCCAGCGCTGGCCTTGGTTTTTGAGCCCTTTGTGTCTCTTCTGTTAATGGGGACGCAGGACCTTTAAGGTGTGCAGAAGATTTGGATCCGAAACTGTGTTTCTAATTCAACAACTGCAGTGATTCACTTAACAACGGTGGCAAGAAAGGACATAAAATGGGGCAAAACTCACGTAACAAATATTTCTCTTGCCTTGACATAACCTTTGGGCTGCTCACTTGTGGTGGGAGCTGGAGGATTAACACATTGGCAAGTTGATATAAACTCCTTGGGACAAATGCTCGTCCTTTGTGTCCGTGGAGATTATTCTCCATCACGGTCGTCCCAAGGGGGCTTTTTTGAAAAGGCAGCTGGATTTCCTCGGGGTCTTTTTTCCCTTGAAGACACTTCGCTTCCTTGCAGCCACAAAGGGGGGAAAAAAACCAAAGAAAATCCTGCCGCCTTTTGGAGGAAAAAAAACCCACTTTTGGGACACGTCCGTCACCTGACAAAAGTTAAAATAACAAATAAATGGAAAGGGGAAAAAACTCAAAAGCTGGGCGGGTCCCGGGCTCTCTGCTCTCGTGACCCATAAAAACCACGCTCGACTAAGCCGCGCCCGACTAAACCGCGTCGCTGACGTCATCAACAGGGCGACAACAGCCAGCATGGAGAAAGAAGGGCGCGTTAAATAGCGCTTTGAAAGCAAGCCGATTCAACTTAAGGTAAGGGTTAGGTTTAGGGTTAGGTTAAGGGTTAGGATTAGGTTTAAGGTTAGGTTTAGGGTTAGGATTAGGTTTAGGGGGGTTAGGTTTAGGTTTAGGGGTTAATTTTAGGTTTAGGGTTTACAGCGTGCTTCTGCTCCACGCTGTTGTCGCCCTGTTGATGACGTCAGCGACACGGTTTAGTCGGACGCGGTTTAGTCGAGCGCGGTTTTGTGGTGGAACCCTCTGCTCTCCCTCTCACTCCCTTCTCTTCCGCCCAGGTGGTGGCTGAGCATCCTGACGCTTCCTGCGACGAAATCGAGGAGCTGCTGGAGTCACAGTGGAACATGCTTAGTGAAAAACAGAAAACACGCTATAACACAAAATTTGCCCTAGTGACCTCTCCCAAATGTGAAGAAGACACTGGTAAACGTAAAACTGTGCTAGTATACTCTAACTAAAAGTTTTAATATGTGTAGTCATGTCTAATTAAGCACACGGTTCTCAGCCTGTAGGGACGATCAGCTTTCACTGTTTCCGTTTCTAACTTTTTTGGGATGTTGTGCTGATAAAAGCAGTGAACGCGGTCCTTTTTTCCCCTTTCTTTTTTCTTTTTCCCCCTTTTTAAATTTAAACCAGAAGAGTCGATCACGTCTACATTTCTTGGTCATTGTTCTGCGAAGTTGCTCTGTGTAAATCTATTGTAGATATGCTGGTGTTCTCATTCCCTTCCTGTCTCTAAGCAGCCGCCACCTGTATCGCTGTCGACGAAATGAGAATTATGGAGATTAGAAAGAAATTAAGCTGAAATTTTTAAATTTAATACATTCGCTCTGCGCGTAACTCTTTGTTTTTAAAATCGAAGTGGGGGGGGGGTTGCATCTGTGTCCCTGTGTTTGCAATAATTAAGATCTGTGGATGTGCTTAAAACGTTTCCAGGACTGACACGGGTGTAGATAGCATTGGAGAGCATTGTTAGAATCCGCAGGAATCTGGCCCGATCTCCATTTTTATGAAGCTTTTAGCTTAATATCCTGAGGAGCTACAGGTTTGGAAGGGTGGATATGCCTAAAGGCAGAAAAAAAGAAAAGCCATATTTTTGTTTCTCAGTATTAATATTATATAGTCTGTATAACGTTGTTGGACTATGACAGAAATTTTAAGATATCAGGTTGCTGCTTTGGACAATGAGAAGAATGAGAGTGTGTTGGAAAAGGTTTCTCAATTTTGGACAATATGTATTAAAATTATAGTCAGTTTTGTTATCTGTGTGTGAAATGACGACTTGTGGGGAAAGTTGAATGCTTTGTCTCAATGTATAAAATATGTGGGTGTCGGTTTTAAAAAGCAAACAAACGAGACTACACAACATTCTGTATCTCTCAAGGTTCAGCCCAGCGGAGTTTGACCAAGGCCAAACCTAAAGCCTTTCAAGGATCACGTAAAAGAAGACCAAGATCCAGAAGTAATTGAAATTTGTGCTGTGTAATGTTGATTTTAAACTAAGTAACCCTTACTTAAGTCTGCCTTTCATGTAACTGCTCAATAATCTCTTTCTCTCAAATGTTGTGCTCCTTCAGTTTTAGCGTTTTTATGGATCTTGAATTAAATATTTGAGTGCTGTAGTACAAATTCCTGTCCAGCTTTATGGTAGTTTTCTTCTTACCATCCAATTAAAAATGAATCTTGCTTCCTCCGTTTGGGACACCTACAGGTATAAGATATAAGCCTTCAGGGTTGGGCACCTTTAGGGACCTGTGGAAGACGGTTTTTGCAGCCGGTAGAGTTTATGTCAAAACCTTGCCCTGCATCATAGCTTCTCCCAATAGATTTTAAACTTCACCATTGATTGGCAGGCGGAAACAAACAGTTTGTCCACGCATATATTTTTTTTAAAAAAATAAAACATGTTATAGGAGAGCAAGATCTGTTTTGAGGCTTGAAATTTTAATTAACCAGCAGAAGAATCTTGATTTTTTTTTCCCCCCAAAGCATTTGAATGAAGTCACGTGGCTCCGAATTAAGTAATAGAATTTTGCCCCTAGGCTGCAAAGTATAATTGGGGAACAATAAACGGCAATTAGAAAGTTTTGGTACACTTGAATAGGGGATTTGGGGGATA